CCCGCCCCTCCCCCCAAATGCCACCATTCTCCACCCATCCTCACTGCAACCTCGCCCAGCGTGGATTAAAGCATCTGGGTAGGAAAGCCCAGCCCCACGGCATGAGACACGGCTTGCTTTTCTCTTTCAAACATTAAGGTCCATTTATTGGACACGGCTCAGGCTCTGGCAGAGCTTTGTTCAGACCCTGTTCTCCGTAATCCCTCACTGCAGGGCTGGAGGCAAAGCCAGCTCCAGGCATGGGGAGGCTTTGCACTGGCACAGCGACATTTGCATCGGCGCTTGTTTCCCACCTCCGGAACACAAGTTTCTCAAGAAACTTCATCCCCGATGCCCAGGAGTTTGGCTCCCTGGTCCTTAAATGACCAGTGTGCAGAGCTGCCACCCTGCTCAGCTGCCAGGGAGCACAAAACCCCATGGGGCTCCTCGCTGGGAGGGAAAAATCCCAGCTCAAGGTCTGAAGGATGTCAGTCCTCTGGGCACAGCTCGGGGAGGAGGTTCCCCCTCTTTTGGGGCCAGGCTTGGGTACATAACACCTTAGGGACTGCCACCACTTTGAATCCAGCTTGGACACCCTCCAGCAGCACTGGTGCCTCCCCACTCATTTCATGCCCCCACCAAGCAAGCAGCTAATCATCAGCTCTGCCCAACCTGTGTCAGCCTGGCAGCGAGGCTGATAAAAGCCACTTCTTCCATAGCCCTTATCATCCCTGGGGTGAGGCTGGGTTTGTTTTAGCCTCGTCAGAACTGGACCGATGTCAGGCTGCCCGTGCCCACAGATGCCGAGCACAGCCCTTGCCCCGCCGGCTCCTCTCCCACCTTCTGGCTCTGGGATGCTCCAGTTCAATCCCAGTTTGCAAAGACGGGGGGTGAGTCACAGGTGTGGCAGGGGAGGCAGACACCTAGGTCTTGCTCTTTGCTGTTGCTCCATTACCCACAGAAAGCCATGGTGGTGAAGCCCTGGTGAGATCCACCACAGTAACAGTGCCCATCTCTTTCCAGTGCATTTGCAGGTCTTCATCAGCGCGAGGCTGGCCCTGCTCTGCCTCAGCATCCTCCTGAGCTGTGCCATGTGCTGGCAGCACCGGTGGCATCCAGGTCCCGTGGTAACGGTGGAGCTGGGACGTGCTGTGCCTGCCAGGATGGTGCCAGTACCCATCCAAGGGACCTACAAGGAGATGGCAGGAGAGGTGCTGGATGCCCAGGGGCAGGAGGGTCCCCTGGCATCACCAGCATCCTACGGGAGGTTGCTCCATGGCAAAGCCTCCTTGGAGAGGAGGGAGAACGGCAGCACCAATGCACCAACTCCAGAGCCAACCTCCTCTGCAACGAGGAGAGCCCACTGGGGCACCCCATCCTGGGACCCCCTGCCCTGCTGCCCTCCAGCACCAGCACTACGCAGCGTCCCCAGCTCCACTGTGACTTGTTCTACTCGCCGGCCAAGGCCATGCTCACCGTGATGGTCCTCGGCGTCTCCCACCTGCTCAAGGGGCTGCAGGGCAGCCGGGGCTCCTATGTAAAGGTGTACCTGCTGCCACGGCTCCTGGTGTCCTGGCAGATGGTGTTGCAGTGCAGCAGCCTCCACCCTGTCCGCCAGGAGCCATGCCGGCTTGGCCGGTACAGCCTGGAGGAGCTGAGGAGCTTCACCCTGCGTTTTGCCATCTACGCCAGGTTTCGCAGCCTCAAGGGCTCCTTCGTGGGAGAGGTCCTCTTCCGCTGCGCTCAGGCCATCTGGGATCCCCAGCCATCTTCCAGCTACAGCTGGGAGCTGCTGAGCACCAAAACCCAGCTCAGGAAGGTCAGGACAGCAGCAGTCTCCAACGGGGGGTGGTTGTCTTCACGTTTTGGCTGAGGTCTGGTTGGTCTCAGAGCCCTAAAACTCCACAGCAAGAGCCAGAGCCTCCTAGCCAGTGGGAGGCAGCGGAAGGGATAGAAGGTACAGAGGGAGCTGCCCCCCATCCCCCTGGTGTCCTCTGTTGTGGTGCAGGTTCGTGAGCTGCCCACAATTAAATTCCATCAACTGTAACAACTGGCAGCATCTCTGCTTCAGGGCTTCGTTGAAGATGGGGGTGCCAGCGTGGAAGGGGTAAATGCAGAGCTGGCACCACCCTTGTAGTGGTGGTAAGCATTAAATTCACCTTCTGGACTCATTTTTTCCCATTCTTGACCCACCCATAGCATAAGTGGGAGACAGGTGTCCCTGAGTTGGAGGGGCTGGATGATGTTGGAGAAGGTTTCAGGGCCTCTCCTGCTCTCTCATCTCACTGCAGTGCCTCAGCGCCCATGACACAACCCGCAGTGTCCTCTCCTCCCCACCCAAAGCCCTCAGCCATCTCTTACTTGTCCCCCAGTACCAAGCTCAGTCACATCAAGGTGCTGGTCTGCAAGGCAGAGCAGCTGGGCTGGCTCTCACGTGTGCCAGGCACGCCAGGTAGGACACTGGTCATGGACAGGGGCCAGGAGATGCTCAGGTGGGCACAGAAAACGGCTTCCCCTCCTTTCGCTCAGCAGATGGTCTTCTTTCCCCTTGAACTTCTCTTTTCTAAGCAAAATGAGTGCAGGTAGTACAGCTAGGACCTAGATACCTCTGATACAGCCCCAAAATGCTTAAAATGTTTATGTTTAAAAAAAAAAAAAAAAAGCATACGGCTTTGTGTCTTGCTGGCTGTTGTGATATCTGGCTCCCCGAGCCCAAGCCTGGGATGTGGGCAGGGGTGTGATCTAAGGGCTTTGGAGGTCCTTGCTCCTGACCAGGGAGGGGTAGGTACAACCAAGATGGACATCGCCTCTCTGTCCTCTCCCCACAGCTCCACAGAGCCCCACAGAGGTCTTGTAGCCCCCCTAGCACCCCGATTTGGCTGCCCATGCCATGCAGGAATCTGGCTTGTGAACCTCCAGCCTCGCTCCCTGGTGTGTCCAGAGCAGGCCCCTCTCACCAAGCCTCTGTCTCCATCTCCAGGCCAATACGTCATCATCCACCTTTACCACAACGGCCGTATCATCAGCACCAAGGAGACCAATTCCACCACCAGCTACAACCCCGTCTGGAACATGTCATTCCTCTTCAACCTCCCGGCTGGGGACATCCAGCAGCAGGACTTCTCCTTGGAGTTCACCATCATGCAGGTGAGCAGGACAGAAGTGACCGTGGCCAAGAAGGTGGCCTGAACGCTCTGGAGCCTCTGCTGCAATGGGGACTCTCAGCCCCCACTTGTGGGAGGGCTACAGACAAGCCCAAAGGAGCTATTTCCTGCTGCCTGCAGGAGGTTGCTGGGCTGAGACTCGTCTCCTCAGGGCAACGGGTGTTTCTAGCTCTGCTTGAAGGCCATCAACCGTGTCCCACACTGCTTCTGCCCCTCTCCCACCACAGGCTGACATCTACCCCCACAGCTCCCCGCTGGGCCGCGTGAGGATGGGTCCCCGCGCCCCTGGGGCCAGGCTGCTGCACAGCAGGGAGATGTGCAAAGGGGGACAGCTGGAGTCGGGGTGGTGGCACCGGCTCCAGTCCGATGCCCTCAGACCCTGATCCTGCCCGCAGACCCCAAGGGGGATTTCCAAGCCTGGGAGAGGTGAAGTCTCAGCCCGCATAGTGTCATGGGGGAAGTCTGGGCTCCATCTCCATGATCAGAGACTGGTGGTGGTCAGCACAACCCCCTTCTGAATGGCTCTGGAGGGGAACGAGCCCATCTGAGATGGCTTCAGCCTCAGGGAGAGAAGAGGAACCTTTCTCTGCTATGTCCACCAGATGCCCGCTTGGTGCCTGCACCTGGAGTGAGCCCTGAGGGCCTGAAACCTTGGCTGTGGGAGGAGATGGGTGGGAAGATCACCCAACTGGGAGACTGGCCCCGTGGCCACCATGGTGGTGGTATCTACGGCCCCTCCTAACCCACCATTACCAGCCCACCCCTTCCACCCAGTCCCACAGCAGTGAAGACTGTCATCATCCCCATCCCCACAGGCTGGGGCACACCCTGCTCTGATCCTCAGCGAGAAGAACCACAAGGACTTGTTGATATTGCCCCAACCCTCCCTGCACCGGTGCTAAAGGTGTTCATCAGCATTTTTAATGAGCTGCTGGCCCAAATGAGTGGTCAATAAATAAATAAAGGGGCTGAGCATGATTGCACACGTGAAGTAATCAAAGCTCTGTCCTATCCCCGTGCTCTTCACTTGGCTGGGCCGTGGGCCAGCAGCGTCCATGATCCATCTTTAGGAGCAAGAACTGTCCTACGGAGTGGTGGCCCGTGTGGGAAGGGGACGGTCACCTACTCGTAGGGCAGGCGAGAGCAAAGCCACACTCGTGTCACCCTTGTGTGGTGCTAATTAGTAAATAAAGAGGAGTGAGGCCCTCTCTCCGTGCAGATCAACTGGACACAACCTCTTCCACCAGCTTCTCACCCCTCTGGCCATGACCCATCTCCAGCCCCAAGGGAACAACGGTGGCTCTCAGCCCTGTTTGGAGGGAGGAGAACGTCTGCAGGGCCCGTGGGAAGAGGAGGTGCATGGCGCACAGCGGTGCAGAGCGCAGCGAGGGTCATCATGGTGAGGAATGTTGTGGTGAGGAAGGCCATGGCAGCGGTTGCATGGTGACAGTTGTTGTGGAGGAAGGCCAGGGTGAGGACAGCTGTGGTGAGGGAAGACCAGTGGTGAGGAAGGCCATGGAGAGGCTGAGGACAGCCAGGGTGAGGAAGACTGAGGTAAGGGTGGCCATGGTGAGGAGGACCATGGTGAGGAGGGCTGTGGTGAGGAGGTCTGTGGTAAGGATGGCCACAGGGAGAAAGACCATGGTGAGGAAGGCTGTGGTGAGGAAGGCTGGGGTGAGGCAGACCGTGGTGAGGAAGGCTGTGGTGAGGCAGACCATGGTGAGGAAGGCTGGGGTGAGGCAGACCATGGTGAGGAAGGCTGGGGTGAGGCAGACCGTGGTGAGGAAGGCTGGGGCGAGGCAGATCATGGTGAGGAAGGCTGGGGCGAGGCAGACCATGGTGAGGAGGGCTGTGGTGAGGCAGACCATGGTGAGGAAGGCTGTGGTGAGGCAGACCGTGGTGAGGAAGGCTGTGGTGAGGCAGACCGTGGTGAGGAGGGCTGTGGTGAGGCAGACTGGGGTGGGGCAGCCGTGCTGGGGTGCGGAGGCCGAGCCCGGCTGCCCGCCCCCCGCGCAGGCCCGTT